GGTTGCATGAGTTTGCAATCCCATCAGTAGTGAATGAGTGTTCCCCTTTCTACAACATCCTCATCAGCATTTGGTATCATTTGTTCTCTTGATCCTAGCCAGTCTGATTGGGGTAAGGTGAAATCTTAGGGTGGTTTTAGTTTGCATTTCCCTAATTACTAACGATGTTGAACACTTTTTGAGATGTTTCTTAGCCATCTTTATTTCTTCCTTTAAGAACTCTCTTTTTAGATCTTTAGCCCATCTTTTAATTGGGTCATTTGGTTTCTCAATTCTTTGTTTAAAAAAATATTCTGGATGTTAAACCTCTGTCAGATGTGTCACTGGTGAAGATTTTTTCCCAAATTTTGGGTTTTCTCTTCACTTTTTTGATTGTTTCTTTTTCTGTACAGAAGCTTTTTAGTTTAACGGGGTCCCACTTCTTGATTGTTGACCTTAATTCCTGAGCAACTTCTGTCAGGTTTAGAAAATCCTTTTCAGACCTATATCTTGTAGGTTGCTGACAATATTTTCTACTAATATTTTCAGGGTTTCCAGTTTCACATTGAGGTCTTTGATCCATTTGGAGTTGGCTTTTGTGCATTCATTCTTCTACAGGTAGAGATCCAGTTTTGCTAGCACCATTTGTTGAAGATGCTGCCTTTCCTCCACTGTTTATTCTTGGCACCTTTTTCTAATATCAGGTGGCTGAGAATGTGTGAAAAAATGTTTAGGTTTTTTATTTGTTCCATCGTTCTACATGTCTATGCTTGTGCCAAAATCATGCTATATTTGACTATAGATCTGTAATATAGTTTGAAATCCAGAGTGATAATCCCTTCTCCCTCTAGCACTGCCCTTTGAGGTCCGGATTGCTTCGGCTACCCATTTAGTTTCTTTTGTGATTCTAAATGGAATCAGGATTTCTTTTCCATTTCTGTGAAGTATGTCATGGGGATTTTGATTGGGATTTCACTGAATCTTTATATTGCTTTTGGTAGGATGGCCATTTTCACAATATTATTCTTCCAATCCATGAGCATGAGAGGTCCTTCCATCTCCTGGTGTCTTCCTTGATCTCTTTCTTTAATGATTTAAAATGTTCATTGTAGAGATCTTTGGTGTCTTTAGTAAGGTTTATTCCAATTTTTTTTCAGCTATTATGAATGGGAGTGTTTCCCTGTACTCTTTCTCCAATTGCTTGTTATTGATGAAAGGCTACTGATTTTTATCCATTGATTTTATAACCTGCCACTATACTAAAAGTGTTGATCAGTTCTAGGAGTTTTCTGGTGGAACTTTGGGGATCTCTTAGGTATGGTATCATATCGTCTGCAAAGGGCATAGTTTGACCTCTTCTTTTCCAATTAGTACTCCTTTAATTTCCTTCTCTTGTCTTATTGCTCTAGCAAGAGTTTCAAGAGTTTCAAACACTATGTTGAAAAGGAGTAGAGATAGTGGACTTCCTTGTCTGGTTCCTGGTTCTAATGGGAATGCTTCCATTTTTTCTCCATGTAGAATGATGTTGGCTGTGGGTTTGTTCTATATAGCTTTTACTTATGTTGAGGTATGTTCCCTTCAGTCCAATTCCTAGGACTTTGAACATAAATGCATGTTGAATTTTGTTGAAGGTCTTTTCTGCATCTATTAAGATGACCACATTCTTGTCTTTGAGTCCATTTCTATGATTAATGACCTTTATTGACTTGTGTATATTGAACCATCCCTGCATCTCTGGAATCATTCTGGTGAATGATCTTTTTGATGTACATCTGTATGCAGTTTGCAGTATTTTATTGTGAATTTTTGCATCTGTGTTCATTAAGGATATGGATCTATAGTTTTCTTTCTTGGTTGTGTCTTTACCTGGCTTGGGTACTAGAGTGAAGGAATTTGGTAGTTCGTCCTCTGTTTCTATCATTTTGAATAATTTATATAGTATTGGTTGGAGGTCTTCTTAAATGTCTGATAGGATTCTGCTAATAAATTCATCTAGGCCTGGGCTTTTTTTAGTTGTGAGGCTTTCTATTAATGTTTCAATTTCCTTATATGTTATAGGTCTGTTTAAACCGTTGGTCTCTTCTTAGTTTAACTTTGGTGATTCCCATGGTTTTCGGTATCTATCCATTTCTTTTAGATTTTCAAATTTAGTAGAGTATAGGTTTTTAAAATATTCCCTTATAATGTTCTGGATATTTGGGTGTCTGTTGTGATGTTTCCCCATAAGAAAGTTTTTACAAGTCATTTCTTCCTACTTATTAGAGATACTCTGTTCTTTTTGAACTCTTTTACTGGCTTGTAAGAAGTGAATGATCACTTGGAAGCCGTCTATTTATAGATCTTACTTTTATAAATTAAGAGTAAAAAAGTATTGTTGGGACTTAGAGAAGTTGATAGTGCTTTTTGTAGGTCTAAGACTTTATTCACAAACATTGAACTAATTAATAGGAAGGGGTGTAGTGTCTGTGTGTGTATGCCTTCTTCTAATGCCACCTGAATTTTTGTGACAGGGTCCCTCACTGAACCTGGTACTCACTGATTTGGCTGACTGGCCAGTGAGTTCCAGCAATCCGCCTGTCTATGCCTCCCCAGCACTGGCATTATGGGAGTGTGTCACTATGCCCCACTTAATTTTTTTCTTTATTTTTGAAAATTTCATATGTGCATAAAATGAAATATTATCATGTTTACTCCATATTTCCCTTTCCAACTTCCCTCACACATCCCTAGCAAGCCCCCCTCCCAGCTTTATTTCTCCCTCTCTCTCTTTTGTTCTCTTTTGATAACCCACTAAGCCCAGTAAGTCCTGCCATATGTGCATGGGTGTGGGGCCATCCATGGGAGCATGAAAAATCTACCAGTGGCCACACCCTCCCAAAAAGAAAAAAACAGATTCTTCCTCTCCCAGTAGCTATCAATGGCATTGGTTCTTCAGTAAGACATGGGGCCTGGAGATGGTCTTCCCCCTCTTTGCCATATGCCCAGCTTTTTATGAGTGCCGTGGATCCAAACTCAGGTCCTCATGAAGCGCTTTACCTCCTGAGTCATCTGCCCAGCCCCCAAGGAAGATGCTTTTAAAAATTATGTTCTACATTTAACAATTAAAATATATCTTCCCCAAATTGAAAAACATAGGCTAAAATTTTTAATTTTTCCATACCTAATAATACACACTCTTGATTTTATTATTTTTTATGTTTATATTATGTGTATGCATGTATTTCCTGCATGTATGGAAGTGCACACGTGCTGCCCAATGCCTACGAATGTCAGAAGATAGTGTTGGATCCCCTAGAACTGGCATTATAGATAGTTGTTAGCGGCCATGTTGGTGCTGGGATTTGAATCTGGGTCTTCTGTAAGAACAACCAATGTTCTCAACCGTTGAACTATTTCTCTGGCCCCCAACACTCTTGATTAAAAAAAGAAAGTCTTTCTTTATGAATAGTTTCTTTTTGAATATTGGTAATGTCACCAATATTCTCATCTTTATGTCTGTCAGAGATTAAAAGCACAAGGTAGATAAACAGATTTGGAATCCCGATTTATTGCTAGTTTTGCACTAGCTGTAAGACCTCTGTTCCATTTCCCTGGCTGAGAAATGGAAGAAGTAAAACAGTCTCATGTGGCAATCCTTTTTGGAAATAGTGTACATTATCATTTAGCTTTTAGGTTGTCAAAAAAATTGTGTACTCTTTAATATTCTGTCACATGACATCTAATGAAGTTTTATGAACTCATCTTTTGACCATTTGCTTTATTTACAACAGTTTGCTATTCTAATGATGCATATTTGCACATTCATTCCTCACCATGTAGTTTATTCAGGAAACTTTTCCTTAAAGGAGATTTTAGATTCATAGTGTGGAGAGTTTTAAGTCTTTTCAACCTTCTAAATTATTTCTCCAAACAGTTGCCCAAGTTATATATCTACTAGCAATGTTCTCTGAAAAAATTTGAGTTTTAGATCTTTCTTAATTTAAGTTTAAATGGTGAAAATGTTTGTAGTTTGAAATTAGGCATTACATATTTGGTTTTAATGTTCCTCATATGAAATGAAATTTTAAGTTTGATTTTTTTTGCAAGATACCTTCACTTAAATATATAAACCACTATTAACTTTAAAACAATTTCATGTCTTCATTTTGACTTTTGAATAAACAGCTTTCAGTTTTGTCTTGTTTTTGTTTTATGACAGGGTGTCACTATATAGCCCCGGCTGACCTAGACCTCTCTCTATGTAGAACATGCTGACTCAGACTCACAGAGATCTGCCTGCTTCTGCCTGCCTCCTGTGTGCTGGAATTGTAAGCTTGAGCCACCATTCCCAGCATTGAATAAATAGCTTTTTAGAGTTCATTGCATTTAAGGCTCATGAAAGCGTGTCTCATGTTCTACATAGTACATTGTAGTTTCACTTTTGCCTCATAGGTTTTGCTCAAGTGAGACTTTGAGTATCTTTTATGGTGTTACAGGGGCTGGAGAGATGGCTCAGTGGTTAAGAGCACTGACTGCTCTTGCAGAGGACCTGGGTTCAATTCCCAGCACCCACATGGCAGCTAACAACCATGCACAACTCCAGTTCCAGGGGATCTGGTGCCCTCATCTGACCTCCTTGGGCACTGCACAACAGGTGCACTTATATACATGCAGGCAGTACACTCATACACACACACACACACACACACACACACCACAGAAAATAAAAATAATAAAATATTTTTTAAAAATTAGTGTTACATGTAATAGTCTCTAATCTCAGCAGTTTACCTAAAACTGTTAACTGATTTTCATTTATTTAAACATGTTCTATTTTGGGGTTAGAGCAAGTCCAGACTTAACTTTTTCCTTCAAACTAAATAGGAATAGGGACTACAACATTATTTTTCATGCCACTTAGAACTCTTTCTGGAGTTATTTGTGTGGACGTTGTCATGTGAGTATGTAGAGTTGTGTTGAGCTGTGGCAACCCATGAAACAAATGAGTGTTTTCCTAAACTTTCCTCTTCCTGTTTTTTTAGAATTTCATAGAATCTTCTGTCACACTATTTGAATCTGACTTGGAAAATGGGAAGTTTATTGACATTACAAATCAGGAAATTTCTGACTTAGAAGAAATCGGTTTTGGCAGCGAAACAAGATCCATTCATGTTAAGAGTGGAGTGTAAGTATCCCGGTCTGGGGAGCCCAGAGAGTCTGCTGCTTAAAGCTGTGAGCTGCTTGGTGCCACCTCTCTTCTGTTCCTTTTTCTCTTCTCCCACTAGGTGGGTTGCCTACCACCAGAAGTTCTTCTGTGGAGAGCAGTACATTTTAGAGAAAGGAAAATACAAGTGCTTTTTTGATTGGGGAGGATCAGATAATATAATACTGTCAATTCGACCAATCCAATTGGTAAGTAAAGTGTGAGACGGATCCATGCCAGTAGCATGTGGCGGGATGCAGCCTTCCATGGGGAGCATTTTCTAAAAGTGAGACTGTGGAATTATCTTGTGTTGCATGTGTATGCAGTAAACAAATACATGAATTTCCAGCAAGCTTGGTAGTTTGACCAGTTCATTCATTCGGCAGGATTTCCCTCCTGCCTCTGATTTGTTAGACATCCTGCTGACTCATTAGAGATCAAAGATGAACATGACTATACTGATGGTTTTTGATCTCTTAGGGGAGATAGATCTCAGGCAATTAAGTATAGTGTGGTTAGTGAGAAGATGAAGTGTGCAGACCATGCTGGGGAGCTCAGCAACTGGGGTTACAGACCCTGCCCAAGAAAGGCTTGCATCCAGTGATTTCTTAAGGGGTAAAAGCAAGTTTCCCAGGCAGAAGGTATCAGGAGGTAGTTGTCTCTTTGCGTGTGTGCACAAGGTCATGAAGTGTGTAAGACTGAGAAATCTGGGAAAAAGCACTGCAGAGCAGTTGGGATGCCTGTGAGAGTGTCAGAAATTCAGACCCTTTATAAGATGTACCCGGGCCCATGTTCCTCCTAAGTATGGTCATACTCAAATTAGTTCTGAATATTAAAATGGTTCTAGGAGAATTCCATAGGTTGAGGGTCTTAGGCAGTTGAAGACATTTAGTAAATTGGTAAGGCCATTAAAGCTTTTCAAGGGGTGTGTTTTCAAAACATTCTAAAGCCAGATAAAAACATGAATGCAATTTTTAAACATTTTAATGTTTTTCAGGAACCACTTGGGATAAATGAGCCTCCGCATTTGGTATGTTTCAAAGTTTTCTTAACTTATAATTATTGGAGTGTTTTCCAAAAACATTTGCATGCTCTCAAATTTTTCTCTTTCTTGGATAGCTTATATATGTGCACATGGCAAAGCAGTTTCTATTCTGCTTGGTGTCTGTGAGCAGAGGAGTGCACCTCCTTGTCAGAGTTGGACTGGCTGAGATTTGGCACAGCATCTTTCATTGTCTCCTGACAGAGCCGCTCCTCTCACCACTTAGGTCCTTGGAACCTGTGCACAGTTTCGTTCCTATTGCCTGGTCTCTCTTCACATTACATTCTCACTAAGCACAGCGTATCACACTATTCCTGGAGGAGCTGAGAGCATCCAAGAACTGCTATCTTGGTGTGCTTATTATGTACACAGATTTTAAAAATGTTTTTATTTTATTTATTTTGTGTGCACCCTCCTGCCATGGTGCGTGTGTGTGGTCAGTGGACAGCCTGTGGGAGTCACTTTGCTCCTTCCACCATGTAGTTTTTGGGGATCAAACTCAAGTCATCAGGCTTGGTGGCAAGCATTTTTAGCCAATGAGCCATCTTGCAGGCTCTGTATCTGTATTTATGATACTTGCATCAAATGTGTGTATGTTTTTTAAGCTCTAGTAAAGCTGCAACTCTCCTTTTTCTGTCCTTTCTGGTTTGAAAGGAATTGGTTAAGACACTGAATCCTAATGTTAGTTTATTGTCTGCTGAAGGCTGGTACTAGTAATTGTATCTGTTTAGTACTTGTAATAATTCTGTTCATAAATTCTCATTTATGAACATCAAAACAGATTCTGATTTTAAATAAGTGCTGTTATTACACAGCTAGATCTGAAAAGTAGATGTTTTGTAATTCCTGTTTTCAAGGCCTTACATGAAAGAGGGACCTATGATAAAGACAGAAGAACCATCAAAGAGAAAAGGGAAGGGTGGCACACACTGCATTTTAAAAATAACCTATTTTGAAAAATCACTGTTCAAAAGCTAAGTGTGGTGATTGATGTTCAGTGGCATTCACTGCCTTTACATAGTGTAAATCTTTTTCTCTGAATACATACGGTTTTCATGTTCCTGTCAGTGTTTATATATTTCAGTTCAGCTTAGTTTAACCATGTTCCCATTCGTTCAAAGTGCTTTGACGGTTTTATTATTTTCTAGTCAGCTGAGGCCTATTGGGAACATTTCCTTTTTTAATATAATTGAGTAGTTGTATTTAGAGGCCCTTCCTGCCAGAACTTTATTTTGAATTTTTGGAAACTTCCAGCTGTGTTTTTTTTGTTGTTGTTGTTTTTCTTTTTTTTTTTTTGAAGCACTTTTCCATGTGAATCAAATAGTATGTGTAAATAAAGGAGTTGAATGGGAGTCGTTTCAAACTTTTATTTTTCTGCTTTTTAAAGTGTAGATAAAATGTCCCTTTCTTTTCAGCCCTTTCTTCCTTTCTAAGTCCCTGCTTGTTTTTTATGGACTTCCTTGTACTGGGCAGATTGCTGGGAGGGTTTTCTTTGTATTAACAGTTCAATTCAAGGGACAAACAGCAAGCAGCACAGAGAGGCCTTGCAGTCAGCTGCACTCCACTTTTTCCAGAGACAGCCAAGTTACTGTGAGATAGGCATTTCTGAAGGTGTATGAGAGCAAGATGTGTGGTAATATGTATACAAAGCTCCTTTGTTTATGCAGCCTCAAAGCTCCTAAACTACTTATCTAAACAAAACAAAAAGACTTTGTGCTCACATGGGGTGTCTTCCCTGTCTATGTAGAGAAGGAGTTACATCTCTAAGTTATGTCAGAGAGGGAATTTTTTTCTTTTATGCTGATAACCTTAAGGGAAATAAATGTTCAGCCACTCAAGAGGAGAAAAAAAATCCAGAAAATGTGTAGAGATTAATATACGTCCTGAGTTCTAACCATATATTGCTAGCTGTCTTGAAAACATGGATCTATTTAATGTGGGATAATGATAGAATGCTTTTTATTGAGAAAATTGTTTTCTGCCTGAGAGTGAAAGCTAGTCACTAAGTCTGATTACCAATTCAAGTTACACATGTCACTAGAGTTCTCCATCATTGGATGGTGCCATTTAAATTTTCCCCCTAAACAAAATAAACACTAGAGTATGGATTGTTGTCATGATTGTCTCTTGGACTTAGCAAGTGTTCAGTGTCCCCTCAAGATATAAATATTACGAAAGTGAATTTTGTTTTCAGGAGAGGTTGTAGTCAGCCACTATCCTGTATAAATTCTAGCCTATATCCCCTCCTTGACCCAAACAGTTATCTTGGGTTCCTAGTATTTTTCTTAAATCTATTTAGAAATATAATTAAAGGTTTAGAATTCTTGAAATATTGAGCTCTTGTTCCACTTCACACATAATTGTAGCTGAGAAAAAGCAACTAGGTAATTTCTTCTATTGGGTAATGTAGCCTCATTGAGTTTTTTTGTTTGTTTTGTTTGTTTTGATTTGGTTTGGTTTTGTTCTTTTGAGACAGGGTCTCCCTATAGCTCCAGCTGGCCTGGAACTTGCTATATAGACCAGACTGGCCTTGATCTTACAGAGACCTGCCTGTCTCTGCCTCCTAAGTGCTGGGCTTAAAGTTGTTCACCACTGTACCTGACTTCTCCTTGAGTTTTAAAGTGATAACAGGGTATATAATAGTTATGACTGCTTTTATTATACACGGGAAGATTTTTATGTAATCCAAAGCTGCTAACACTCAGGAAGAACTGTTTAAACAAAGAAAATCTATGAGCGACCAGGAAAATAAGATTATTATTGTATATTTAATTGGTATGAGAAATGCATAACACTGGTCTAAGAGATGTATAATGCAATTATAGAGTGGGAACAAGAATTTTCTTTAACATTCCTTACATAAATATGAAGAAGGTCCACATGGTTGGAGAACATACTATTTAGATAGTAAAGTTTCTTTTAGAAATTATTTTAGTACTAAAATCAATAAAATTCCTTTAAAAGTTGATGCTGATCTTGTGGAATAAATTTGGCAGGGCATCTGTGTTTGGTCAGTTACTGGATTTTTAGTTTTCTCAAGTTACATCTATTGTAGTATTTTTTATGTGTAATATAAATGAAAACCACACAGCAAAGCACATTTCTACAAACTCTTAATCTTAAAACATTGGAAATTCTGCCTCAAGGGGTAATTCTACAGAAGAAATATGGCAATGTATGTGAAGAGATACCTTCCCACCAAGTGGCAGGCGTAGTTGCTTCTCAACCTCCCTCCCTCCCCTACTACTGTGTACTTCCAAGGAAAGGACTGGTAGGGATTAACACATTCCCACAAGGTCTGGATCAAAGAGGGTAGTTTGAAAACAACTCATATCTTGTTCTTCTATTCGCCTAGTTTCTGAGCAACCCATCAAGTTGTTTTGTACATTTATTTTCCATTAAAATAGAAAGGAAACTACTGTAGTAATTTGCCTAGCTAGATTTGTCTCGCAACTTCATTTCATTTAATTTTATCAAGAATGGAAGCCACATCTTAATTGTTACAGTTAGTAAGCACAAAGTTGGCTTCTGATGTTCTGTGGATGCTTTAGGTGGATGTTCTAAACCCATCCTCAGAACATTATTACAAGAGTTGTTCTATTCTGATGCATTGATGAGGTAGTCATTTTGACCTGTTATTTCATAGGACTGGTCTGTTGTTGAGTTAACCACATACCTTGTCTCATTTCAGGAATAAAAGTAAAGTAAACTCAGATATACACCAAATCCCGTTTTTAAAACTTTGAGCAAAAACTAAATTATTAAAAAGATACTTTATAACAGATTAGTGAGTGTAAATTTTAATTCTTCCATGTGTGAAAATAGACTAATAATTAGAACTTGTTACTAAATGCACAGTCTCGTGTGTTTCATTTACATTGTTAATGGTCTAAGATTGGACTCATACATCCTGAGCAAGTGCTCTACTTTTTATCCCTAACCAGAATGAAATATAAATCTTAAATAGATCCAATGTATCCTCAACCCACGAATGTGTGTAGTGATTTAGATTGCTGTGGTCTCTATTTTCTCATCATTTTCCCACTTCTTCCTGTGAATTTAGATGGTATTTGCAAGCTGTGGAAATTTCTCTATACTTTTAGAGGTTAAAAGCAATTTGGTTTTGAGCTTCATGTTTTATGAATCGTTACATTATGAAACCTAAGTCATACTTTGGATTTTTTTCTTCTTCTCATCTTGTTTCCCCAAGAATGACCTGACAGAAATTTGTCAGATCTTAAGACTGGGAGTCCCTTGGTGTTTGATGCTCCAAATACTTTGTGGTTTCACAACAGGAAGTCATACTGAATAAGCTGCAATTGGCTAGGGGTGGGAGGCTTAGAAGGGGCTGTTGGGATTGGTTCTCTCACTTCAATGTCAGACCAGACCAGGTCAGAGCAGAAGAAGATAGCTGAGATACAGTTCCTCTAAGAGAACCCTGGGTAAGATGAAGGAGACAAGCATCAGGCGTTCAAAAAAGCCCTGTTTCCGACAGCTGTGTGAGCGTGGGCACTGTGCAGATCATTTATTATGAAGCGTGCTTTGCTACCACTGACTGCCTGTCAGTGCAGCATGGCCCTGTGGGCCATGCCAGTTGAAGTCTCCAGAGAATTATAAAATATTTATAGAGCTCATTAATTTTTTCTTTCTCATTTTTTGATCCAAGGTCACTAGAATTGCAGATTATTGTTTTTCATTTTGAAAGGAAATTATAGTTGGGATTTCATGGGGTTCTCCAAGCCTCTTTTTTAAAAAAAAGTATTTATTATTTTTGTTTTATGTGTATGCGTGTATTGCCTGCATGTAGGTTGTGCAATGCCTGCGGAAGACTCTGTCAGATTCCCTGGAACTGGAGTTAGGAGAGTTTTTGGCTGCCATGGGGGTGCTGGTATTTGAACCCCAGTCTTCTGCAAGAACAGTCAGTGTTCTTATCCGCTGAGCCATCTCTCTAGCCCCATTTGAGATATTCTTATCAGAAATGGAAGCTGGAAGCTGGAATACATGACACAGACCTCCTTCTTCATCATAGATCTTGGACTAATCCCATTGTCCTACATTCTTAGAGGCTCTCCCATGCCTTCCTTTTCTTTTATTGACTGCAGATCAGGAAAACCAGGGGAGAGGAAAGAAACCCCAGCTCTCTCTTATGCTAATCCAAACTGTTTTATTTGTTTATTTTTGTTTAGCACCAAATGCTACTTGTTTTATACATCTAGTCTCACTATAGAAGATAATATTCTTTGAAATAAGGGACGAAAACCACATTTGGTGAAGGATTCAGATTAATTTTTACAGGTAGAATTATCTTCTGAGGAGTTGTGTTCACACTTTGGTACAAAAGATGTTTGAAGTGGTAAATAGATGTTGACGTTTCATTCCTTGAAACATGTTAAGAAAAAAATATGGCACTTTAAGGAGACTGACCCATCCTTCACATAACTTATTATAGATAAAATATGCATCAGATATCCTGCTGAACTCATAAATGTGTTAAAATTTGCTTGTGATGATTAAACAGTCATTTTATGATTTAATTATCACTGTGTTCTCACAGCTCAAAGCATTCAGTAAACCAGGGTACCAAGGTGAATGCATAGATTTTATGGAAGAGTGTGCTGATTTGACCTCATTCACACCGTGCTCTTTCAAAGTTCTCCGGGGATGGTAAGTACACTTGTTGAGTATTTTCTGCTATGACTTAATAAGCAAAATTCTTTCACATTTATAGAGGTTTGCCTTATTTTGTTTTTTTGCATGCACAGTAATTTTTTTTTTTTTTGCCTTTTTCTTACCATTGATCTCCTGCTAACTAATCTATGTTAATTTTGCTGAATTTAACTTTTTAGTTATTGTGAAATATAAAAAGGAATGCTGATTAACCAACTTTGAGAGCACTTTAATGATTTTGTTTCTATTTTCTTATATTATTGTCTAAGGTTTTGGCATGTTCATATTGTATATTTACTGTATAGCATAATGGAATGCTAAAACGAGTTACTATTTATATTGAGGAAAGACATATTCTTTTTGCTTGTTTGCTTAAATTATTTATCATCTCCATTTCACAGATAAAGAAAGTAGATTTGAAGTTAGGGCTTCCCAAAAACCCTCACCATATCAAACTCCAGATTGTTTTAGTCATTTAATCATTTCTTTAACCTTTATAAACTTTCCTTTCTTTTTCTTTTCTTTCTTTTTTTCGTCATTTTGAGACAGGGTCTCCCTGTAGCACCAGCTGGCCTGGAACTCGCTATAGAGATCCGCCTGCCTCTGCCTCCCGAGTGCTGGGACTAAAGGTGTGTGCCACCATGCCCGGCCTTATTTTTCTAACTATATAATATATTCAGTCTTCTGACATGTGTATCAAACTGTGTATGATTCTTCATATGCTAAAATATAGGCTATCACTTTTTAGAAAAATATACCTGACATAACATTTACTGTTTAAGCCATTTTTAAGTAGACAGTTTAGTGACTGCTCCATGTTTCCAATGTCTACTTAATCGCCCCTCCAGATCCCTCTACTCTTCCTTCAAAGTCTTTTATCCTAGTCAGTTTCTCTTTCTTCTTCCTTGATCCAATGGAGATTATTTTTCCCATGAGGAAGAGCCTCCCAGTTTCCCAAATTCCAGTTTAATATTTTTTCCAATCTGCCTTCATTTGTAGTCATTCTTTAGGCGGAGTAAGTTCACCTCCTTTTCCAGGCTTTATACCATTAGCTGGCCTCATTTTCCTTTCTTCCCTTCTGCTGATGTTCACTCAGCCATTTGTCCTCCCCTTACCTGTATGCCAGGATTAGACAGTAAAGCTTTTGGACTTTGTGGACTGTGCAGACCCTGTCCCAGACACTTCACTCTGTCACAGTGACACTGAAGCAAGTGTCCACTTGGTGTAACTCAGATGAAGAGACACAGTTGTGCTGCATGCAGCAAATTTTACTGTTGCACATAGAAATTTGAATTGTGTATATATACATATCATAACATAGCCTTTTAATTTTTATTTATTTTGGGAAGACATTTGGTTTTTTTGTTTTTGTCTTTTGGGAACAGGGTCTCCCTGTAACCTCAGCTGGTCTGGAACTTGCTATGTAGACCAGATTGGCTTCACTCTCAGAGATCTGCCTGCCTCTGCCTGTAGAGTGTGAGGATAAAGACCTGAGGGACCATGCCTGGCTTTCTTTCAATTTTAAATACCATTTTAAAATGTAAAAACTAGGGCTGGAGAGATGGCTTAGCAGTATAGAGCACTGGCTGCTCTTGCAGAGGATGTGGGTCCGGTTTCCAGCACCTACATAGCAGCTCACAACTGTCCATAACCAGTTTCAGGGGATCCAGTGCTCTATTCTGGCCTCAGTGGGCTTCGCATGCACATGGGGCACTTATATACATTCAAGCAAAGCACTCATACACATAAAAACAAAACAATAAATCCAGAAAAAACTTTTAGCTTGAGGGCTGTGTGAAATAGATGATGGGGTATATAGCTCATAGCCTGCAGTTTGCTGTCAGTCTACACAGTACGTTAAAATTTCATACCTATCCTTAGTTGGATTTAGATATATTGTTTCAGAAGGACCTGCTTTCCACCGTCCCCTTAAAAGCCTTGCAGAAAGTCTTCACTTTGGGAAGTTGCTGGCACTGAGTGATGCCCCTGTTTCCTATTTTTTTTCCATCTGGCACACCGTTCATGTGCTTTACTTGCCGAGCCTCCTGCAAGTTGGAAGCTTTTAACCTTTGCTTTATACTAATCCACGTTTCCTTTAGAGTCCAGTTCAGACACTTCCCCTTGACGGCGATTCTCTCCAGTTCAGGGACTCTTTTCCTTCTGCTCTTCTGATAAGATCCACTGTGCACTTGTTGCTGTTGTTATATTTACTTCCAAAGGATGAGAAGTTCATATGATTAAAACATATAAAGTATTGTTAAGTTTAAAAGATCGTCTGCAAGGTAATTTTCATTTTCCATATAAAAAGAAGCACTGAATTTTTTTCTACAGGAAAAAAATTTCATTTTTTTCTCCTGACACCAAAATCTAGGACAAATTAGCCACATCTGCCTGTATTTAGGAAGTATACTTTAATGTAAAGAATTTTAGAACCATAGAGAATTATGTAGATACTTAGTATTTATGAGAGACCTGGCTGTGAGCCCAGTCCCACTTCCCAGCTATGTTACCTTAGGCAGATGAATCATTTGACTGATACACATTTTCTTCATGTGTGAAGGAGAAATAATGATACTTAAAATGACTTTGTTTCCTCCCTGCTCCTGGGAATTGAACTACCTCTTGCTAGGCAGGTATTTTAGCACTGAGTTATTCCTCAAAGCTTTCTCTTTTTGTTTTTTGCTTGTTTGGGTTTTTGTTTGGTGTTTTCATGTGTTTTTTTGTTTGTTTGTTTTTTGTTTTTGACATAGAGTCTCTCTGTAGCCTCCAGCTGGCCTGGAACTTACTATGTAGACTAGGCTGGCCTCATATTACAGAGATCCACTTGCCTCAGCCTCTGCCTCCTTCTCTGCCTCCAGAGTGTTGGGATTAAAGGCTTGCACCACCACACCCAGCTATCTCAAAGGTTTTTGAAGTACTAAATAAAATAATGCAGATGGGAGACTTAGCTCCTTGCTTAACACAGTTAAAACCCTTGATAAATGTTGGTAATGGAATGTTCACTACATAGAAAATATGACAGTGAAGTACAAGGTCACATAGCATTCCTGTGGCAATCCAGAATTAACCTAGTCTAGGTGCAGTTCCAGACAATCCTGGCAATCTTAAAACATAGGGCTAGAACTCAAATATGAGAGAAATAAATTACTAATAGCCAATTAATTTTTCCTTTGGGCTCTTCCTTTTCAAAAGAGCATCCTTAACTGTACTTTTGGTGTGTGGTGTATTGAAGGAAACTCAATATTAAGATTCTGAAGGATTCATTTCTTTTCAAAAATTCTCTTAGCTATCTGATGTAAAAAGGACAGATTTATACTCTTATATGATTTTAGTGGTCTAGGTTCTATACTCTCATCCAGGCTAAACACGTGCACATCAATAAAAATAAACTTAGAAAAAAGGGTCTGGAGAGATGGCTCAGTGGTTAAGAGCACTGATTGCTCTTGCAGAGGACCCAGGTTCAATTTCCAGCACCCACATGGCGGCTACGAGCCATCCTTAACTCCAGTTCCAGGGGAATCTGAAGCCCTCT